AAAGATCACTTTAGCCCCACCCACTTTGCACATGATTGGCTCTTAATTACACATACATGAATCAACGTGTAACAAATTTTGTGTGCACCATCAGGGAGACCTGCTAAACACGCTTAGTTTGACAAGATCACTTTAGTTTTCCTGTCTGTCAGTCCATTCATCTGTTCACCTTATGAGATTATTTAAATAATTAAGGCCTGTGATTATTCCAACAATGTGAGTGACGTGTAAAATGTATGTAAGTAGTAATATGCAAGCATGATTAACTGCAGTAGAAAACTGTATGAGGCTAGCATGGATGCTATGAGTGAAGCTAACAGTAGGCTACAGTAAAAGTAGTATAAGGTGTRCTGTACCTGCTTAGGGACAGAAAGTATAAGGTTAGGATCCGGGTGGTCCTGTGTTGATATTTTACCTTCGATAAATTTTTGGGGCAGATGTAATCGATGGTTGCASTTTTTCTGGTCAAATTCAGCTCGTCCAATTGCTCAAAGGCTGTTGGCTTGCCTCTTAACTCGGAAAARGTGACAGAAAATACTCCTTCCATGTGGGGATGATGGCTGTATCCCGAGTCAYTGTTACAAGAACCGTAGCACAATGTTTCGTGTTCTTCCTGTTGGAATTTAATGACRTTTTTCCAGATTTCTTTAAGTTTAAACACAGYTTAACCACGCAYTGTGATTAAAACTAWTGGAGCGGCTTCTAAAGYTTTATAYGTACACGGGTGTTGAGYGGACGTAGTCACRTCCTGTGACTAGTGTTCAAAAATAGCCTGARTGGRGAGCGTCATTATCGCAATCTKTCCTTCTATTTTAAGGACACTGAAAGATAAGGGATAATTTAGCGTGTTCGTTTACGTTAATACGTATTCGTAACCAATTAAATGTYTGAATGTGAAAAGAGTGAGTCATACAACCACCAGCGCTGGACTGAACCACGCTTACTGACTGCTCAGTGTATACARCACACGAACAAGGAAGTCCTGTTCCTTAAAACACTTTCTTCAGAATTTGACCCCGCCTACCAAGTTTGACATCACTGAAGGAGGAAATCCTATCCTCTAGGATGACATAATTCCTGCTTTGGCTAGTGTTTCTTTACATTCAGTCATTATGTTTTGATAWATGYTCAGGYAAGTAGCTACTTCTRGTATGTACCTTCCGCTCTCAGTAGCCATCTGTGACAGCCACTCAGACCAGTCTGTACACAAAATWACCAATTTAATCACAAAAATATTCACACAATGGTTTATAAAACTGTATCATGYTTCACCTAAGAAAAGACTATTAAATGTGTAGTGCCYTTAAAAGTYAGTAGTAAACAACCCCAATGAATTYCTTCAACTCAGTATCTATGATCATGAGTGTGATCTCCTGCAGTGTTGTGAGAGTATGCATTGGGAATAATCCATCCATTTTCTGTACACGCTTCTTCCTTTTCAGGGTTGCGTGGGTCACTGGTGYCCATATCCAGCAGTCACAGTGCGAGGGGCGGGGTACACCCTGGACAGGTCGCAAGTCCATCACAGGGCCACACATAGAGACAAACGAGACAAACAACCATTCGCATTGGGAATAATGCTCAGCTGTATCAATACCAAAACTTTWTGTTCTAAAATCATCTAATGTGTCTCTGTAACACTTGCCAGCATTTGATGAAGCCATTGCTCCTGACATTTTTGAGTAGAAAGCCAAAACAAAACCTCCATAATATGGGTAACACTGCTTATGGGTTCACTCTCAACATGCCAACATGAGGTACAACTGAATGTTGTACCTCATGTTGATGTCCTGATGTCCAGTCTTGTGTGAACTTTCTATAGGCATTCCTTCACAAAATGCTAGGCAATATTTTCCTCTAGTCTGATTTTATGCAGAAATGTTGGGGTGATTTCTGCAAAAYAAAACAAAAAAAGTCARGTGGGTGGTCAAGGTACGCAAKGTCTCAAGATGTGGGTTTTCCTGGTGACACACCAGTCAGTSTTCAGAAAGTTTTGGCTACCTGTGGTAAAAATAATGCTGTGCTTTGCAGCGTTGGTGTACATAGACTCTACTGTAGAGCAGGAGTTGTGTTGCTGAATCAAAGCTCTCCAGAGGAYGTGAGAGATCCAATCAGCAGGCGGCTCTCGGCCTTTACCATCTAAGCCTCAGTAACCACTGAAGAAGATGAGCAGGCTGAAAAAAAAAAGCAGAAAAGCAAAAAAGAATAGGTCACCGTGACATCCAGCTCATACTGAATTTGATCCTGTCAGAGCTGTCGGCAGCTACAAAAGGGAAACTCAATGGAAAGCTATTTTAATCGCAGATTTATCTTGAAACTTTCCTGCTTACTTTGCTCAAATCTGGGCACCCAGCTGCACGAGGCCGTCTGTCAAACGTCTGCAGAGGCGCTGAGGATGTGAGAAGAATGATTTTTCTTAWACTAAGAAAAGGAAATAGAGGAGATTTTAGTGGATGAGTGAGTTTCTGGGCTCTGTATTGGCTTAGTTAATGACTGGTGCATATGTCAGCCGCGCAGCTGTGGAGTTCCAATCAGCCAGCCAGCTGAGGAGGGGAGTGACGGATGGAGCGAAGAGACAAAAAGAGAGGGAAGCGCACACAGAAAGCATWAAGCCATCGAGGCGCACACAAAATAAATAATTTTTCTTTTTTCAAAGCAGTKCTTCAAGAGAGCAGCGAAGCAAAGGAGGTGAGAAAGGAGGATTTGGAGGGAAATAAACAGAGAGGGAGATCCAGAGGGGGAATGGGGAAAGAGATTTCTTCGCCAAGATAGTTTCCATTCTTCTGCCTCTGCCTTCAGTTAGCAGAAGTTGAAGCGGCTGCAGTCCAAATCATTCCTCTCAGCTGCCTCCCTGGAAAGTATTTACTCTTGTCAATRAAGGAAAGAAGAGAGGAGGCAGCCTAACTGTGCAGCTCCTCTGTAGGAGCTTGATGACGGCCTGTGCTCCCCTTTCTTTGTAGTCCTCGGCGATATTAGCATATTTTTTTAATATCTTCTCACTGAGTCTTTTCACCCTCTCCTTCTTTTGACTTTGGCTCTTTAGCCCAGTCTGTCCTGCTCCGGCYTGGCCTGTGTTCCATCAGCTCGGGTGTTTAAGCCTTTAAGAGCCTCTTTTCCCTGCAGTAAGAGCTTTACGGCAGAATGTGTGCAGAGAGCAGGTTTTTTTTTTTTTTGGTTTTTTTTTTGAGGAGGCAGGATCAGAGCTGGACTGATACAGGTACAGACTGAGGAGAGGAGCAGGAGGACTTCTTTGACTTCGGGTTGATCCCTTTTTTAAGCTGCCCAACAAAACACCCACAATGACAAAAGTGTGATAATATTTTTGCCTGTGTATTTGTTTGTCTGTTCGATCACCTGCTCCGTCTGCCTCTGTCGTTTTGTGTCCTTGGGCATGACACCTCACCCACCTTGCCTGCTGGTGGTGATCAAAGGGTCTTGTGGCGCAGGTGTACGGCAGCTTTACCTCTGTCAGCTGTGGCTACAGTGTAGTTTAGCACCATCAGTGTGTGAATGAAGGCCTTTGGAGTTCGTAGGGACTTGATAAAGTGCTWTACAAGTTCAGGCCATTTACAATTTAGCGTTAGCAAAACTATTAACACTTAGATGGGTTCCTGGATGTACAGTACAACTTCACCAGATTCACCTCAACTCAACTGAACCACCACAGCTAATTGACATTATTATAAACATTGGGCCTCATGCAAGAACCATTCGTACGCACAGATTTGTTCTTAAGCTGTGCGTACGAGTGATTTAGGAGAATTTGTGCATTCACCAATTTTCTTGTATTCTAAGATTTTTTTCAGATATGAACAAAATTCACGAGTGGTCCAGACCTGTCGTATATTTTCCGAGCA